GCCGACCCGCGCCCCATAACATATGCGCACGTGGTCGCGGCTCTAAACTAGGCCTTTCCTCCAACCATAGGCCTATATGAACCACGATATATATGTTTTTTAGTATATATACATATATACATACATACAAAGGAATATTAGGTATCTGCAATACCGGCAGTGTTCCCTTACACATCAACTCTGCCACTAGATGCATCGACTTGTTACACCAATATTTTTTTTTTACTTCAATCAATTACTGTACAATAATCTTCCTACCAGATTATCTATGTGAATGCAACCAAAGAATTACTTATGTATATGTGGAAATTCAAAGTTTCTTTTGGAGAGAGCAGCTCTAATGAAGGTGATCCCCTTGCCCTTGTCCTCTTCTGTTTAGTCATTAAAGAAATCAATGAAAGTATGTGTATGCAGCGAGTTCAATATGTAGTTCTTCATGGCACCATAGCTTATTCTATACACATCCTCATAGAAAGACACCATGAAAATCCTCGAGCAAGAAAATAACCTAGCTAGACCTCATCCCAAGGTCTATTCCTTGTTATTCCAAAGAATATTCATCACATTCACTGCATTTTTTTGTAATCTTTAAGATTAGAGCTTGATGCTTCTGGAGGACCAATCACATCTTTGCTGAACGATACCATCCCAAGAGTTTTAGCTTGTGTCATCAGTGTGGCCCACATCACTTTCTACTCTTGTTGAGCCTTATCAGTATTGGGGGCTGCAATGATGCTCATGCCTTCCAATTCATCTTTTTCTGTGTGTATGCTTTGCTTCCTTCGGGCATCATCCTGCAACACAGACATGTTTCTGTGTTGCAGGATAATGTTTTTGTTTCTTTATTCATTTGACATGCTTACAGTTCAAGCCTGAGCATCTGAAGCAAAAAAAAAAATAGTACTGTAATACCAAAATTTTGCTATTTGTTGCTAGTGTATATGATTTGTATTGGTGTAAAAAATATAAAACACCTTTTTAAGCACATCTATGGTACCAAAATTATATTTAAAATTTTAACCAATTTTTTTTTTTAACTTTATTCCAATCCAACAACTGCATCGACTTGTTACACCAATATTTTTTTTTTACTTCAATCAATTACTGTACAATGATCTTCCTACCAGAATTAAACGTATGCTTTATTTAAATTTCTGAAAGGCAGTTGTTAGTTTAGCAGTTTTGTTGTACTTCTTACTCTCAAGTACTGTGTGGGCTGGCTAAAGTCAGTAGCTCTGGCTGTGTGGTTCTGCCACCTTGTGACAGTCAGTACGGGTAGCCATGCAGCCCATTCCAGTTAAGGAGAGCCCTTATTTGTTATTCACAAGTGATGCCAGAAGAAAGCTCGGTGGGGCTTAAAATTGCTGTAAACTGACCTCTCTCTGGTAATCATTCCAGACTGGATTGATTATTCTTGTGGCTATAGCCAATATATGACTGCATGGATACTTGACAAATTCCTGCAGTACTGTACTGTAATTGGTTCCACTCAACTTTACATAGTCCATTTCCAGGACACAATTCAAACTAACTTTTGGAAGCAGCTAGATGTTATGCATCACTTTAACAATATTTTTCATATTATGTGGCTCATTTAGGCCTTACATTATAATGTACTGCTGCAATACAATACAGTAATGTACTGTAGTACCAAATTTAACTGCATTAAGTCTTCCAGTATTGTATTGCATAATATTGAAGTATATAATGTTGCAGTGCTTTATTATGAAATCACCCGAACACTTGGGAATACCAAGTGTGAGGGTTTGAATCCTCCTCATGACTCCTACTGATTTTCATATTGTTACCATACTATGTTGTTACAGCACTGTATTGTATTGTGTTGCAGTACCCAACTATTGCAGTGCTGTATTGTATCTCAATGGGTATCAATTTATCTTTAAAACAAAAACATTTCTAGGCTCAATTTGTTTTATATAATCACTAAGGGTAAAAAAATTCTTAGTCAATACTTCTACATATTTTTTTTAAGTACAAATACAACTCTGTATACAATAGATGCAAAAATACAGTTTCTGGTCCACTACTGTGTTTCCCAACTTCTACTGTGTGGATGTATTGACCAGAGAAATATCAGCGGCACAATTAAAGTACCACAGATAATGATCATATTATATTTTAGATACACACTGGCCTATTGAGAAGCACACTTATATGGATATATGTATGTATGGAAGTATATGGATATATGTATGTATGAAAGTATACAGATATAGTCATTTGCATGCCTATGCATGTACAGTATAACCCAAATTATATATAAATTGCTATAGTATGGTATACAAATTAAAATCATATTTTCCCAATATATGAACTCCACGCACATATGTTTTCAGTGAATGGGCAAAAAAGATAATTAGGATAAATGAAGGGAAATTTTAAATAATGTTAAAATTATAATACTGTATAATACAGTAAATATTATAAATACAGTACAATATGTATATAGTGAAGCTTTTACAAAATTGCTGTAGTGCACAGTTCAGAACTTATGTACAATGCAGGTTGTACTGCAGACTGCAAGCAAGATGCAGTAAGGCTGGATGGTAGTATTAATGTACACATCATTTAACATGTGTACAGGCAGATGTGTGAAACCTGAAGGCACATACTTTAAGAGACAAGAGTAAGCAAGAGGTTAATGAAAGCAACTTTCAGTATCTTTCCTCTCACCAGATGTCTTGTCTATCCATGACAGATTACACTCGAGTCCTGCATTATTTATTACTTTATTGTTTTCAACACGGCAATAGATACTGTACATATATTGCGAGCCTACAGTATGAGTTTGTCGTTACAATACATAATGTGAACTAATAAGAGCAGACTCCAGAAATTAACTCCTTGTATTAATGGGGTTTACTGAATATACATAAACAATGCATTCACATGAATATATGGATACATACACACACACATATTTATCATGTTGAATATTAATACATTGGAATTGGAAATGTAATATGGAAAATAAGAAGGCAATTGTAGCAGATGTCTTTTGACTTTCTTTAGCTAGTAGGTAACTGATGACTTTAAAAGAGCTATTAGTCTTACTGAACATATCAACTGTCAGTTGAGAAAAACAGAAAAGAATCATTAATTCATGTGTAATATTGGGAGTAATTAGGTAAATTTATTGAGACTGCTGCTGGTGTAAGAACTACTCGACAGACACATATTAGTTGATCAAGTAACATTCTGAGAGCATAAAACACACATTTACAGTTTGAGTATCTGCAAATTATGAAAACATTTACAAATTGTTTAATTAATATAAAGTGACTATTTAAATACTGACAGCAATACATTTCAATTAGTTTAAATTATTAAATATTTACCTAATACTGCATTAGAATCGGACAATGAATTGGCATTAGAACATTATTCAGTTACCTGGCAGACATACATGAGCCAACTATTCATGGGAGATGTAAAATTATGATCAATGTCTATAATGTAACTTATAATTGCTTCACAATTACAACTGTGTTTCCAGAACATCTTAACTTTTCCTGTATTCAAGAGGAATCTATCTTTCAGAGTTTTAAGATTAGATATTCTCTGCTGAGGTTATAATATAAACTAACCTAAAATATAACATGTCTTCACTGATACATTTAAACAAGAGTATCCTGACTTCCAATGTACAAAATAAGCACAATGTACAAATATATATATATACAAATATCTACAACTACACAAGCATATAACATCATTTTCTCACAATTCTTGATCATGAGCGAGCAAGAGTATTTAAGAAGGCCATCAAGATGCTCCACTTCACTCAAGACTGCAAACCTGTATTTTGAGGTCTAGAAGTGACCTTTCCTCTCACAGCGGAAAGTAACTGCACCATTAATTTTCTGAGCAGTGTGTACAGGCTTCGGTTATAATTACCTGTACTGTACTGTAATGCTGGAGCCAAAATGAATTACATGTTTCATCAAAGTGTACTGTGAAAAATACAAACAACACATTTTTAAATATATTTAGTTTATTAAAAAATATTAGGAATTCTTACCTGGGTAGAACGTACTCTGCACCATACACAACTGTGCATGTCTGTATATTTCAAAAAGGCCTCACTTGTTATCCAAAGACATCGATTCCTTTTTTATCGACTAATACAAAGGCAAAAGAGGTTATGAACACATTGTAGTTCATGAAGAGCACTGTTGTTAGAGTTCACCCAGCATAGGGTGGTTCACAGGGATACTCAAATATGCTGTAGAAAAATTTTCTGTTTCACACACCACAATATTATAAAAAAAATCGCAAAGGCCAAAGTGATCACCAGTTTCCTGTTTTGTACAATTCCTCTGACAAATTTGCCTGAGAGTAAGATACTGATTTAATAATCATTAAAAAATCTGTATAAAATATACATTTACTGGTAATGATCACTCAAAATGAAAAGGAAGAGAGAATTTAAAGAGTATACTGTACAAGCAAGAAAAAAATCTTCATTTAAAAATACTCAACTAAATAAAAAACAGCTTTATTATACAACTAAAATGTATCACAGTAATGATGGCTTAAAATTATTACATTAATGAAATTATGTTAGAAAATCTAATTATGGCAACATTCCCATTGAAAACTGACATTTAAAGTATCTTGAGGTTATCTTGAGATGATTTCGGGGCTTAGCGTCCCCGCGGCCCGGTCCTCGACCAGGCCTCCTTTTTGTTACAAACACCCCAAGGAAGCAGCCGGTAGCAGCTGTCTTAACTCCCAGGTACCTATTTACTGTTAGGTGAACAGGCGCATCAGGGTGAAAGAAACTTTTTGCCTATTTGTCTCCGACTCCACCAAGGTTTGAACCTGGAACCTCAGGACTACGAATCCGAAGCGTTGTCCACTCAGCTGTCGGGCGCCCCCTGACAACTGAGCTGTAACAAAAGTAGTGTACCTTTGTTACACAGAAGGAATGAAACATAAGACAGCAGTTCAGCAACAAAAAATACAATTACTGGAGACAAAATGCTGAGGAATGGTCGAGGAATAACAGAACTTGACTTATTCATAACATTTACACTACACTTTAAATTTTGAACCTAAAAGAAGGAGCAGTATTTACAAAATCTTATTGTGCAAACAGTAATGGAAAGAGAGTTCTTATTCCTTTTATGTCTATCAATATATTGATAAGATAAGAGACACCCCAAGCCACAAAAGTGGTGAGAGTATCAATTATGCAACAACAGTCATGAAGTTAATGCAACGAGACCATGACTGGGTTAATCTAAAAACAAAACAAAAAACAAAAAAGATGCTGTTGATGGAAAATTATTAAAAAAAATCTTCATTAACCAACTTTCTCTAGCTGCTGCATCAGTTATAGCTGAAAGAATTATATGTATACTACACATATAATGTGTGTTAGACAGAAAACATTTTCTGGTATAATGGATATTGTGACATGTATTGTGTATCTATTCCATTGTCTCTCAGTAATTATTCATTCAGTCAATTTGCTGAGGCATTAAAACTGACGATTAATGCATAATAATTAAGAAGACATTAATAAGTTTAGGTAACACCTCAACTATTAAATTTAGTTAAAGATACATTTATAAAAGCATAAAAATTCATAAATGAAATAAGATTGGATGACCTCAATTGCCTCATGAAAGATTTTGTTGCAGAAATATTTTTTTTGCTAATTGAAAGTGTTCTTCACCTCACAAGTGGTGAATCACTCACTCACTCACAATGCACTCCTTAACAATTACCAATTTCCAGTTCTCACATGGATAATTTTCCTTTACCTAATTTTTATATTACCAGTATTTCATTTTTTGTTTTTGTAGTTATGTAATATTTAACTACTAAGTAAAGTACAGCGTTCTCATACATTTACAGCTTTGGCAGCAGCATGCAGCAATTACTTGTTCATTTGAATTAAATCCAATTTAATATACAAGTTTATCAGCAAATATTTCTGGAATATTTATCAGCAAACAATCTTTTGAATTCCTAAATTCTTGAGGAAGACTCTGCATTTTCCAAAAACTTTTGACCGCAGATAAAGGCAACGTGATACATACACAGGTAAATAGAATAATATGAATACAAGTAAGGCTATTTTTGGGTTCCTTTCTTGAACTTAGCAACAATGGAAAGTATTTTTGCCAACCAGCTGATACCTTAATATTTCAATGTTTATATTTAATGAGCTATTACTGTGGGAGGTTGAGTGGTTGGGTGGGCACCGGTGCATGTCAGTCCTCTATGTCATGCCACCGAGGTACTCAGGCATCACGTGTATTCTATTACAAATGATATTAATGACATATAGCAACTGTGCAGACTATACCAAACAGTTCACATTTTGTACTACTACATTTATATTCTAATGGGAACCCAATAAAATTCAACAATTTAACCAGTAACCTAGCATAAGCTGTCTTTGGCAAAATATAAGCCATACTAGGCCAAGCATAACCAATACTAGGCCTAATACAGTATATACAATCTTAGGCCTAATGTAGTAGATATACTGTATGCACTTTACAAAACCTAAGAGAGACTAGGTTATTACCGTCTTTCTCAGGTCATTTACAATATATATATCAATAGTACAAAATGTATAATTTTCATGTGCCACAGTCAACATTTAGTACAGTACATGTACTCCACAGTGCTACAGGTTTATCATTTTTGAAGGATATGTTGCACTTATTCCTGTGTAAGGCATATACACAATAAGTAATCTGAATAAATTTTATGAATAAGGCAGAAAGTTTTCATATTAATTGCATGTCTTGGCTCAATTATGTAGATCATATGATTTTAAATCAATACTGTGTACATGCATGCCTATCTTCTCATTTATCCCCTTCATGAAAGAGAAAATTCAGCTTAACTTTTATAAGTTCAATGTGAACACAATGAGCCATCGGCAGACTACTGTATTGTGTGATGCATTTTGTATTCAAACAGATACAGTACTGATAGTTAATTTATCTATTTAGCAACATGATGTATTGCAATGGAAAGATAAACCCAAGGTTTATCTTACCATTAAAGTTTTATATTTTTTTATTTTTAACATCTTATTCGGAATAAATGTTAGTATATCTTGATAAAAGTCTCCATTCAAATTGAATGCAATATGTTTGTTATATAACAAATTTAATGTACTGTATGTTTAACAATGTATAATAAGTCAATTTATAATACATGTTCACTGAAAAATACAAACTGTCTGCACAGTGACTACAACTATATTAACTAAAAGTTATTAATCATGATTAAAGTATGAAGATAGACAACAGAAACAATTCCACATTCAATATCACTGAAAAACTTTAAGATGTGTAAACTTGACGAAGGATTGTATCATAATATGATACATGAATAAGCTTAATACTGCATCAACTGATATGAGCAAACACAGACTAACTCCATTTGCTAAAATGTTTAGCTTGAAAGCTTTAAATGCCATCATCAACTTTTATAATATATTATGACCTAGATAGCTAAGTTTTGAGACGAGGCAACTTTGTTTACTCAACACAAAGTCATTTGCTGACATACTCGGCTGCGAGTTGTTCTCCTGACACAGCTTCCTAATACAGTACAACATTCAAATTTACTAAGGCTTGTTAACAAACACAATCACACCTTTTTGATTACCTATCCTGTGACCTAACATAGATGAAAAGAAACAATAAAATTGTTCTGGGAGGTACAACTAATCTCTTTGTAATAGCTGAATGAAACAGATTTTGGCATATACTCAGAACAATGTAACATGAAGTTCTAGTCTTCTACAATATATATAATATAATCTAAGTTTTCATGTGCTATACAATGAGATCACACTTTCTGGGTGTCTATGAAAAAATAATTCTCTTCAAATTTGAGAAATAAGGGTTGTGCACATCTAATAATTCTCTCATGTATTCATTAGTGTATTTGAAGTAAAAAATGTAATACAACACTGGATGTAAAAAAAATGTAATACAACACTGGATGTAAAAAAAATGTAATACAACACTGGATGTAAAAAAAATGTAATACAACACTGGATGCAGCAGTCAAATAAATACACAATGTATATATTATTTCCCATATATAAGATATTTTCTCCAACCTTTGGACTTAAAAGGTGACAGTACTACAAAACAGCACGACATGAACACCGCTCAGTCTTATATAGAACCATATACAACACTATAAATTATTCACTGACTAACAACCTGTATCGGTTCGCCATTTGCACGGCGTGTGAGGAAGAAGTGGAGAATTCCTGCCTGAGCCATGACATCAACAGTGCCCGCTGCCAACTTTTCTGCTGGAGATGGATTGCCAGCCTTAGCTCCAGGTCGCAAGAGTGTAGGACCAAATACTGTTGCCAAGTTGTGCAGTGACATTTTGTTTAGATGCTCCATTTCATGAATTCTGTAAGTGAAAGTAACTGCATCAAGAGAAAAATAAACATCTTAGCTATTGACTGATAATAAGATCATTATTTCCATATAGAGTACTACAGTATACAGCATACACAGTAGCAAATTCATACTTCATTCCAAACAGAATTAAGTAGGGTAGTAAGACCCAAAACAAATTACTGAATAATGAATCCATTTATTACTAATTCATGTTTGGAGAAAATGGAGAATCAAGGATTTCCATATTGCTTGGATCTTACATAATTGTTAAACTTTGCTCTCCGTACTAAATTTGTCTGAGGAATTGATATTTCCAGCTGTTCTTCTTCTGCCTATAATTCTTTTGCATCATTACAGAATAAGGATTACAATAGACCCTAAACAGTGTGATGGATGTGTGCTTGGAAAACCTCTTGCAGCATGAAATCTGCAAAATATACTGTATATAAACTCTAGAAAAACATAAAACTGTACTGTACTTACTTGACTAAATGTTCTAGGAGATATGCTATAATAGACTGATTTAATTGAGGGAGCGATGAAAAGAGTTTGAGCAATGTGGTCTTCCTGTATTCTGTATCTGTAGCACTATAGGCCTCGAAAAATCGTGGGTATAATTCACTCGTATAGAGTGCTTCAGGAAGTTCCCGCAGGAAAAGCTTTAGCAGTCCCGTCACAGAATGAATATCCACTTCTTTGACAAGCTGTTCTGCTTCATAGGGATCTGAAAACATTTAAAGTATACCGTTTTAAAATTTTTTTACTTCAAAGCAATCAAGAAGTATAAGTAATGTTAAAACAACTTCAACATCATGAAACATTTGCCTAGTTACATAATCTAAATAGGCTGCATTGTTTGCTTTTAAAAAGACTGTAAAAGTCCTTTATTAAGTTTGATCTAAAAAATCAGCACCAAAGATGGCAATACACATCTTGGAGGTCCAACAAAATGAGCCATAAATGAGTCGACACCACCTGGTGAATCATACACCACACTCCAGTCAGGGCATTGGAAATGAAGTCCAGGAGTACTGGAGAAGTGAAGTCTGCAGGGGGTAGGACTGGTGTGTAACTAAGTGGAAGGAACGAGGAAGTACCCAACTGAACAGAGCGAAATGCCATAACTCCTACCAATATGTGAGGAAGGTGAGTGTGTTCAAGGTGGAAAGTGTAGTGCTCAAAGCCCTAAAGGCCACAACAGCCCCACACCAACCAGTTCTCCTGAATAATGTATTGCATTTTGACATATAATTTCCCCAAGGCCAAAAACTGAGGTACTAAAAATGACAGTGGCTTGCAAAATTTATGTAATGTCTCATTTTCTGTCCATGGGTCCTCAGGTAGGTTAGGTTTGGGCAATTTAATACAACAGTTTAGTGATCTTGGGAAAGCTTGGGAGAATAGGCTGCCCACACAGTGTGCAGCACCTTATCAACTACTGTACATACCAACTCCAAACGAAGGACCCAAAAGGGTAATACCCTACAGAGCTGGAAACAGATGCATAGGTTCAAACAGGCTGTAACCAAAATTGAGCAGCACTCCTAAGGAGCATTGTTAACTGCATAATGCTTTAAATGACTGAACGCAAAAAGTACTAAGCTGCAAATTAATAAATTATGTTAGCTTATATATATATGTGACAAACTATGGCATATATTAACACCTGACCTTATTAGCTGTCCCCATGGTGTAGTGGTTAAGACACTCGTCTGGCATTTCGTGAGCGCTTTGTCCTGGGTTTATATCGTGGCCAGGGAGAATTTACTGGGCGTCAATCCTTAACTGTAACCCCTGTGTTAACCCAACAGTAAAATGGGTACCGGGTTGTTAAACGATTTGGCAGGTCGTATTCCGGGGAACATAGGATTAAGGACTTGCCCCAAACGCTACGCGTGCTAGTGGCTGTACAAGAATGTAAGAACTCTTAAACTGTCTGATTGCATTTTTTAACAAATGTCCTTATTCTTGACTATTTTGTGTCAATACGTGGTTTCTATCTCGTCATCCTGAAGATGTCATAAAGGACAAAAGTATTTTGCAAATTTTGTTTTCCCTTTGGTTGTTTGCATGCATATACTGTACTATATGTACAGGGCTTTAAGTCTTTATGACTGTCCTGTGCCTTTTTTTATCAGTCTGGGCTGGATTGAGCTTTGCCTCCATAACACTTTAAATGACCCTGTAGGGACATTTTAAAAGATTTGTGTGGCACTGAAGCCAGAATAATGTCCTGCAATATTGTCCATGCTTATGATGTAATGACAGTAGGTACTTATCTTAGGGAGCAAATGAATTTGAAAGAAAACACAATTCAGTAAAATTAACTAAGCATGAAAAATCTTCACTTTGTTATGTATTACATTAAAGAAATAAATTAGAGGAAACTTACTTGACTCAAAAGATTTCTTGAGTTTTGTTATATCAGATGCTAGGCCAGACACTCGATAAATTCCAACCTCTTGCATTCCTCGTCTCTCAACTTCTCGAACACACCGAGTTACAATAAACGGAACACTTCTTTTCTCTCGTCTAAAGAGAAAAACAAAGACATTATGTACAACCGTCAATATTTACATAGTAATTTATTTCTACGTAACAAAAACAGACTACACTATTGAAGTATCCTCTCACCTCTGACCAATATTGTTTAAAATTAAACCAAATACAGAAGTAAACCCAATATCTGCCGACACACATAACTTCATCCTTGAGTGACAGGTAGGTTGGAGGTAGTAGTTAATGTAAGCAGTAACATCTAATTGTTTTTTGCTAAGCAAAACTTACATTTGATTGAGAATTACATTAAAAATTAATACACTATTAAAGGAGATAAATGTGTTAATCATAACTGAATTTGGTGTCTGCAAAGAAGCTTGCTAAATTTATAATTGTTTTAATATTACTGTATCATGGCAACTGATGAGTAACTAGAAATGTAAAGTTTCAATTACATGAGATTTCCAACAAACCCATAATAACTATAGTACAATACCTTATTGATAACTTACCTGCAGACAACAGCAATGTTGGCACCAAAGAGGCCCGAGGACTTGCCAGTGGGCACTCTTCTAAGTGTTGCCTCAGGGGGCAAAAACTTGAGGATTACAACTAACACCAGATCCTGCAGGCTCACACGTCGCTCGGTTAAAGTGCTATTCAACCAAGATCGTGAAAGCTGTAAGAACATTAATTATATTCATATTGTAATTTAAACATTCCCTGCCTCATGATACACCTAGCCAGCACTATTGCACCAGGGAAACATCATCAGTAAGTAAACAAAATAATAAACCATGCAAATTATGATTTGTAACTTAATCATGATATTTTTTCAACAGAAATATACTATAGAATTTGTAGTCAATGATTTTATATATCAAGTAAGATGAGCTATATATTTCTATAGTGACTAAAACGGGTAATATTTCTTTCTGTCTTTCTCATACCTTAACTATTACCGAGTGCATTTAATTGATACTTTAGTCATGAACTTTAGAAAGACTAATGTGTTATTATTTGTCTATTTATAGTCTGTAGTGACTGTATAGACATGTTGTAGCAAAGGTTATTCTCAGGAATAATGTAGTTATTGGATTTAACTATGACTGATACTTTATATGACAAAGCAAATGAAAAATATCAAACCAACCTCCAGGTGAGTCTTCCCCCTCAGTTGTGTTCCCAGCTTTGGATGATCCTCATAACACAGAATACGGAGAGTTTGTGAACCTTCAAGCTCAATGATGAAATCTTGATTCCAGTGAGGCTCTACACCTTCAGTGATCTTTGTTTTAGCTTTACGGAAAAAGTGCCCGTATGAGTCTACTTCAAAACACACGTACATATCTGTAATATAAAAAACAACAAATTATTAGAAAATGATTAGAAAATATTGAAGTTACAGTACTGAAGTAAAAATACAGTAGTGTTGAATGTGTAACATATGTTTACGTGTACAGTAAATATTTGTTTGATTAGACACAGAGTTTAGTGTTTTTTATATTTATTTAGTATAGTCTTGGTTACAGCAGTCGATTTGTTGGCAATGTAGTGAAGTGTGATAGAAGTTAAGATGAAGCCAGGAGCAGGGCAGAGAGCTGAGTGAGGCCGGGGGTAGAGAGCTCACATACAGGGTGAGCGCGTAGAGTATGGCGCTCTGAATGCAGGCGGAGTTGAAGAGCTTGGTGCAGGACAATAGCATGGAAGCTAGATGCAGCTGGAGTCCAGCTGTCTGCTCTGTGTCGAAGCTGAAGCATCTTGTGAGTGTAGGAACTGGCCACCTTGAGTGTTATATTGTTGTTGGTGAATGTTGAAGATGTGTGGTATCTCCCAAGCGTTTGTACTGAACCATTCTGAAAATTAGACTGATGATGATTTGATTACACCAGGCAAGTGAGTGAGGGTCGAGGCTGACAAGGACACCGGGTGACATGCGGCACCACCTGGTGGCTGATGGGCATGTTGTTTGTCCACAACAATGATCAATTGGATTGTCTGCATCAGAATTTCTTTCTTCCAGCAGCAGTTTGCCTTATTTCAGCGGTAATTTTTGTTTCACCTACCTTTCTGTTGAGTTTTTTCTTGCTTTAGGTTGATTTCTGATCCTCAAGCTAACCTTGCCTTACAGAGATATCCTGATTTTGTTCCTGGTTCCCAGTTGGTCAGTGTGAGTGAGTCCTGGTGCACTTCACAAGGCTTGGTGCCACCAGAGTGTAAGCTATGGCAAGCTAATATTTCACTTGCCAATAAACAGGATAAGACATTTAAGAAGTACTAGCTCATTTTAACAAATAATATGGGCCTTACTTGCAGAACTAGTGAGACCGTGTAGACTAGACACCACAATGTGCAGATCACCGAGCAGTAAAGAATCATCTCGGCCAGATTTGAGCAAGAATGAGCCCATGTTAGTCTTTAAGAAGGACCGGCAAGATGTAATCCACTGCTGCAGCTCCTGCAGGGTGAGAGAACTTCCACCAACTCCTGGTGTGTTTGCCTGAAATAATAATATATCAATTCAACTTTTGTATACAGTATATAAAAGATCTGATCCTGTACATGCTCTATTCTAAGATACCAATAAAAAATAAAAAAAAATAATACCAAAATATCCAATTAGGGTACAATGATATTTGTTATTATTTAACAAATAAATCAGTTAAGATATTTAACCTCTCCAATGACAAGCTTATACTTTCTTTATAGAGCTAATTTATAAGATTGTTGTATTATTTTTCATTACTATACATACAATGAATAACCAATGCCTTGCCAGGATCAAAGAATGAATAAGTTGACCAGACCACACACTAGAAGGTGAAGGGACGACGATGTTTCGGTCCGTCCTGGACCATTCTCAAGTCACAATCGACTTGTGAATGGTCCAGGACGGACCGAAACGTCGTCGTCCCTTCACCTTCTAGTGTGTGGTCTGGTCAACATACTTCAGCCACATTATTGTGACTCATCGCCTGCAAAGAATGAAGATCATCATCTGTTACTGATTAGAAAGAAAATAGAAGTCTATGCCCCTCTGTTACAGTGATACATTCATTCAGAGACATTTAGTTTTTGCTTCCTATCTTGAGGTTATCTCGAAATGATTTCGGAGCTTAGCGTCCCCGCAGCCCGGTCCTCGACCAGGCCTCCTTTTTGTTACACACCCCCAGGAAGCAGCCCGTAGCAGCTGTTTAACTTCCAGGTACCTATTTACTACTAGGTAACAAGGGCATCAGGATGAAAGAAACTCTGCTCATTGTTTCCGCCTCCACCGGGGATCAAATCCGGAACCACAGGACTACAGATCCGAAGCGCTGTCCACTCACCTGTCACCTCTCCACCTTAGTCCTAAATACTTCACAACTTGCATTGTATATAATTTTTCAAGGTAATAGGAGCTGCAGTACCTTTAAGCCTGAAGTGTGTAATTGTTATAGTATATCATATACTGTATATCACCAGAACTGGCTACCTCTACTCATGTTGCTTCACTCAAGTTCATTGCAGGTTCAAAATATTAATTATAAGAGCACCATATTTATTTTGCCTCAGGCTCAATGTAAGGGCTACAGGTTAAATTAGAAAAATTCTAGCCAATGTTACAGTTGCATCCCTCAAGACTTTACGGAGGGCAGTTGCATCCTTCAAGATTTCAAGAATAGTTCCATAACCACAGTATTTCTCGCTAGAAACCTGAAGAACATGTTGTTCTTCAGGTCAAGTTCAACATGCAAGGTAACACTGACAATAAATTCATCAATAACTCTCACTCACAAAACAAAAAGTAAACAGAACAATAATGGGTAGGCAGGCATTGCATGAGGAGGAGAACTGAGTCAACACAAGCACTTCTTCCCACCAATAAATAAGGCTTTAGAAGAATGCAGCATAACTCACAGTATGAAGATAAACCTAAGATCTGCAAAGCCAAATTTAACAGTTCAAGGAAGACAGAAGAGGATACTTGAAGCATGCTAGTATTTTCAATGATTTAAACTAAATTTCTCACATTATTGTCTTTTCTTACACAGTTCAGAAATATGAACAGTGGGGAAGTATGTTACGATTTAAGTGAATAACTTTTTGAAACAGCTCCCTCAGTCCAGCTTTGCAATAGTATCACAAACTGTCCCACACAATGGCTAGCACATAAACAGCTTTGATTAAGTATGTTAAGGAATGGCTTATCACAATTAAACCTTTATTAATCTTATGCTTACCTGTAGTACTTGGATAGCTTCACCCCATTGATCTCGTTCATATTCAGATGAAATCAGGAATGTGTGCACTGAGCCAGCTCTTTTGGATATTCTAAAGGGCAGGTTGGGTGAAGCCAAAACCAGCTGAGCTTCCAACTCTGCCAACTTCTTTCTCTGTTTCTCATTTCGAACTGCATTCATGCGACTAGCCTAAACAATGTAGAACATTACATATTAATAAATGAATACTAATTTACAAATACAGTACAGTACAGTACAGTATGCCCATATCGTTAATCTCCAGGTGTCTAAGTTAAGCATTGCTACACATGTTGATGGAAAATGTCCAAGCAATTATGTAATGCTGCAGTTTTGTGTATATTCTGTTCCACACATTGTATGTTCAGCTACACACATTGTATGTTCAGCTACACACATTGTATGTTCAACTACACACACATTGTATATTCTCTTACACTAGTATAAACAGCCAATACATTGCACTTCAATGAAAATTATTTGATGCTTACCCCTTTATCACCTGCATTATCCACTCTTCTCAGCTGATCTCGTACCGTTGAGGCTTGAGATTTGAGAGACACTAAGTTTGGTGGATTTGACTCCTTGAGAGTCTCAGGTCCACTGTCGTTCAACACAGCTATGTCATGGAGACTAATGTACCACTTGACCTCAAAAGTAAACTTCTCTGATCTACCAGTTGGCTGTAAGCAGAAAATAACATCAGACCTAGTTGCTTTATGGTTGGTTCTGTTTACAGTTACAACCTAAGTGTTGCCCAAGAAAATCCCAGTGTTGAATGTAATGAAACAGATCTTTCTTAGGGGAAAGGGTATAAGTGGCTCTCAGAAGCTAGCCATGCTAAGATAACTCAACACCTAAAAAAAAAAATAAAAAAAATAAAATATAAAATATGTTTATTCAGGAAGGGTACATACATACAAGTAATGTTACATTAATGGATCGATATATAGATAGAGCTAGTACATACAATGCCTAAAGCCACTATTACGCAATGCGTTTCGGGCAGGAAAAACATTAATATCTAGAACTTAATACTAATTGAGCATAAAGAATAAAATAATACAATACAATTTTATTTAGGTAAGGTACATACATACAATAAATTTATACAAGGATTGGTTGACTTATAGGTAGAGCTAGTACATACAATGCCTAAAGCCACTATTACGCGTGTTGTAATGTGTGTTGAGAACAAATACAAAGATAAAAAAAGGGGGGAACATGACTGAAAAAGCAGCACAAATACAATAGGTTGACAGTGTTGATTAAAAAAAATAACAGACATGGGTTGACAATAGAGGGGTAAGATAGGTTACAGGGAATTTATTAGGTAGTGTTTAGTTTTTATCTTAAACTGGTTGAGAGAGGTACAGTCTTTAACATGGTTGGGAAGATCATTCCACATTTATGACCCAACTACCAGGTAGATAATATCTGCCTGGATAATATTGATATGTCCTATAAGACATATCAACTCTTGCAAGTCCTTAATAGCCTGCAGAAGACCAGAGGCTAAAACCTGTCCCAACCCTGCCCTCACAGAGGCTCAGGAAGCAGGGGATTCCTCATCACCCTCACCAAAGAAACAAACCTCCAGAAAGGAAGTGAAGCAAAATAGACAACAGCAAGGTTTACAGAAAGTAAACAAATGAACAGCAAAAAATTCAACAAATTATCTACCTGGTAGTTGGGTCATAAACTCCCGAGTAGCAACTGATCACCACTAGCTGGCAGCACTACAGGAGATGCCAGCTCCTTAAAGCCAAAGATAACACAGAAGACAGCAGGAAGACCTGTACATTTAGGAAAAAACTTTGATAATTTATAAGGCAAGCAATTTGCAAAGTCAACCACAAAAAAGGAAAAGACCAAAGTGATCCTCATGATTCTAATAATGAACTACCAAGGGGCAGTTCGAATGGAGTAAGTGGATGGAGCACAGAGGGAGAAGAACCTGCCACAGAGCCTGCCACATCGCTGCTAACTTGTGAATCAGAATGTGATCCCAAAGGTGACCAGCCCAATGACCATGGGAAGCCTAGTGATCGCTGGTCACAAAGCCCCACCCCAGAGGCCGAGACATTCGTACATACAACAAGTGACAGAGGATGAAGATGCCAAGGAATTGAACCTGAACTTTAATAAAAAAACAGCAAACCAAAAGTTGGTGAAGAGCAAACAGAGCCACCTTTCAATCCCAGCAGTGGCAAAAAGGATGGAAACCAAAACATTGCCCAGAGCCAAACCATGCCCATGGGGAACACGACACAAGCAAAATTCAGGCTTCCATACAATAGCTCGACCAACCGTCCAATAATCCGAGGCTTCTCTAACACCAGATGGAGACAACCCTGCAGGTGAGACCAAGCTGCTTCTTGCTAGGAAACAGAGGTCAACCATGAATCTTAGACTAGACCCAACCATGTCTGAACCTGGGACAGAACCACTTTAGATCTCCTCAAGAACACCAGGAACCCAAATCTGGCGAACTGCAAAAGGTTAACAAATCCTGGCTTGATCTTGGAACTATCTGAGTTCTAGGATACATTTTGTTGTGTCCTTTGAACTCTTCCTAATAACTACTGTACATGTATTTTTAAATGTAGGTAGCATGCTAATGGCACCTAGTGCAATTTCAATTCTACATAATTAATAAAAAATTCATCATCATAAAGCCCTTATACAGTAATATACTTGAATGTTATTCTGGGGGTTTGCTAATATTGCACAAGTCTCTTATACTTTGCCATTTATATGGTTCTATGATGACATGTTACGTTAAGCCAGTAAAGAATAAACTTACTTTGTACTTTGCACACACAATAACATCGTTGAAAAGGAAGAGATGTCTTAGTTTCCGATGACCTTCCACCAGCTCAACAATGAAGGAATTGCGAACTAGATGTCGCTGAGGACGATCTGTAGCCTAAAAAATATTATATGGTTAATACTTCTCGGTGATTTATATGATAATTTTAACTGCAATAGCAGTTACAAAACCATTATATTTGCAATTTCACAAGTTAATAATTTAATAATAATAATAATTCATGTGTCAGGGGACAGGCAGGTAGAGTGTATTCATACACGTTAGACCTGTATCGAGGTCCCCCACCCCTTCCCCAAGGTCAAATTACTGACTATGCCCAGGATGCCACCCCACAACAAGTTGACTGACTCTTGAGTACCTACTTACTGCTAGGTGAACAAGTAATTAGGTGATATGAAATGCACCCAACCTTCTCTGTCCCGCCCGGGATTCGATTCCGGAATTCTCGATTGTGAGTCGAGAACGAACCCAACTGTACTACCGGGGACCCTTTAAGTATAATAAGTTATATTATAGTCTACTCACTAATAATTTCCCTTAGGTTCTCGTACAAGTAATCAGTATTAGTAACAAAATCTGGTAAGTTTCCAGTTCTGTACAATGGAATTGAGTGTTTCACAACAGGTAGAAATTAGGAAAGTTCTGGCTTATTGTAACCAATTGGCTTCATGCAAGTTTATAATGATGCAAGTCATCATTATGAACAAAATTATATTCCTTGCTTCTACAGTGGCATTGTGTGGAGAGGAATTCCCTTTAGAGCCTATCCTTGTTTACCATTTTCTAGTTCAAGATTAGTTCAGACTCCACACTCGATTTTGAGAATGAGTTTCTGGTGAATGTGTCCCCTACAATCTTGGTCTGTTTCAGTCTAGTACAGTACATATTGACAGTCTTTGGACACATTCTAGTTCCCTTCCTCATACATTTTTTCACATCCTCCTGAGGTGGTGGTGCCTCTGGCTCTTTTCATGTTTCAAACATCTATGTGCTGGGGGCATTCTAAAGTTTTTCTGGGGTTTCAGGAATATGCTTCAAAGCTTGTGTTGAATCTCAGGTTCACCTATGGCTAATTCCTTATGTGCCTTTGTCTAGATTCCATTTGGGTGATCTCCAGTTTTATTTTAATTTCCAGGGAATTTGTAGTTTTCCTCCTGTTTTTCTCATGCTTCTTATGGTTTTGCATCTGTTTAGGCAGTTTTTGCTGCCACAGTATATCAACATATAGAACTAGGAGTATACCATATTATAACAAAAGGAAGGCCATGACAAGAGCTGATGACAAAAATAAGTGGGAGAATATGGTATCTGTACATATAAACAAATGTTGCAACTTATAGTTAAAGATAGAGAAATGTAAATAATTTAAATGTTAAGAACAAATATTTTAAGCATTTAATTATTTTTATATAAGGTGTAATTATTCAACAACTAATGAGTTAACTCCAGAAATACATTGACTGGGAACCCAAGAGTCAAAAGTCCTTGAACGAGCAAGATGCTAAGGTTATGGATTCACAAGAACCATCCAAGAGTATATTATTGTATACAAAAGCTGATACTTGCTGGAAACATGGCTTCAGTGTGTATCATGGAGAGGTGAGTGAGAAAGTTCTGGGTGAGTCTGAGGGCTTCACGTAGTGTCTCGTGGTCTGGGTGATAGTCAGGTGTATACTTGAGCAAGTCCTGAAACACAACCACATACACCACACCATTAATCATCAAAAGATCATATGTCAAAAATAATAAATCTGGAAAATTATTTCTCATATTTTACCCATACAAGATAGATTTCACCTCTGGTAATCCTAATTACAAAGCTAATAATTTATACAAAGTGCAAACGAGCAATAATGCTGCTGTACTCTAATAAAAGTCTTTACACTGAAAACACTGGTATTTAATGTACTAAATTAATTAAAAGCATGATTATTAATGTATAGCTTCTAATAATTTTAAGCAAAATATACAGTATTATAATTCCTACAGTCGCTTGAAATCTAGTTAGTAAACCTATGAAGTGCAAATACAAATTTAAATTTTCTTAAAATATTCTAGAAAAATAGATTGTCTAAAGACTCACATGAAGGACTAGAGCATTTTTTTGCACACGGGCGACAGGTCTATGGAGAAGATCCTCTAGGGATTGTGCTTGGCCCTGTAGGAAGCGTAGCTTGATAGACCGAGTGATGTCTGCAAACTGTGGACTCTGTGTGCTGCACCGTCGCACGGTCTCCACAGCACGGGGGTAGTTTTGCAGAAATGATGCATAAACATCCAGTTTACTTGCCTGCAAATAGCATAAGTAAGGAACAGGATATATAATACTGTATATAATTAATATAAATTATTCCAGAAATGGTTAATACCTAAAAATCCTAAAATACAGAAGTCATTTCAAATGAAATGTTGTTGTGGCACTTCATACTACTGTACTTAAGTAGTTTTCAGTATAGTACTGTGTGACTTAAGTCACATTGTACTATCTTGAGGTTATCTTGAGATGATTTCGGGGCTTTTAGTGTCCCCGCGGCCCGGTCCTTGACCAGGCCTCCACCCCCAGGAAGCAGCCCGTGACAGCTGACTAACACCCAGGTACCTATTTACTGCTAGGTAACAGGGGCATAGGATGAAAGAAACTTGGCCCATTTGTTTCTGCCTCGTGCGGGAATCGAACCCGCGCCGCAGAATTACGAGTCCTGCGCGCTATCCACCAGGCTACGAGGCCCTTTGTACACTGAAAACTATTTACATCACACTGTACTACACTGAAAACTACTTAAATCACACTGTACTACACTGAAAACTACTTAAATCACACTGTACTACACTACCATATTTATATTAATTAATTTTTATATACACTATCATTATGTATTGCAAACACACATTAAATCAGGTTCATTAAATAAGTAAAAAAGTTTTAACTATATTTTAATATGAAATAGATTTTTGTTTTATCAAAAAAAAGGAAGCAATTAATCTATATTTTAAATAAAGTACAGTACTCAAAAAGTGCAGTAAATTATATAAAATAAATATTAATAGATAAAATATTTAAATGTTGAAAAATATTTCATAATTTTCTTGGAAAGCACTCTTACTACTGTTATAGTAGCATGATGCATTACTATTATTATCCGAGATAAGTACATACTGTATACCTGAAGAATACACCAATTTATGGATAGATTTTATTCTTGTCACAAATTGGTTTATTAGATATTACTTCATGAACTTATAGCTTCATATTATATTCATCTTCATACCACTTTAGTTCAATTCACTTTAAATGAATTCTTTTTATGAAAGCAAGTACAGTACTGTATAGACAGTTACACACTTAAAAAGGGGATGTGTTCCGAAAAGGTATTTGTAAATCAGCGGTTTATAACTTGAAACCAGATTTATCATTGTTGCAATGCTGGATCACTAAAACTCAAGATAAACTCTTAAATTTTGCAGACAAATACTATATATAAGATATGTAATATGTAATTTATACATATAAGACATGTATAAATAATAATATATAAGATACATAAGATATATATGCTTTTAATTTACCTTCACTGATGAAATTGTCTTGTTTTTCTGATCTGATGTTTTGAAAAGCGTAAATAGATAGAGCATAATTACTGGAGGAGGAGGAGGAGGCAGTAACAGGTGATGATGCAAAATGCCCATTGTGATGGCAGGTTTGCATTCTGGATGTGCCCAACACTTAGACAGTACAACCTTACAAATATTGATGCAAATTGAATGTACTGAGGGCAAATTCTGACACTTAAATCACACAACCTTTTGGGGCTGACTTGGGAACCACCGGGTAAATCTTGAAGTACAGTATACAGTACAGTATACATAAAACAGTTGACCCTTATATAATTCTAACATTACATTCCTGGAAAATGTCCTTAGATTAAAAAAATGTGCTATGTTAACTGAATAACATGACAAAAATAGTTCTGTTCCAGGATTAGTACAGTAATTTAAATAAGTATAATAATTCTTTGTGTCAGGGAACAGGTAGCCAGAGTGTATAGGTATTCATATCGGCTTATATCGAAGTATTCTTATAGGCTTATATCGAGGTATTCTTATAGGCTTATATCGAGGTTCCCCCCCCTCATGTTATAGGCTTATATTGAGATTCGCCCCCCCCACCCATGTTATAGGCTTATATCGAGGTACAGTATTCTTATAGGCTTATGTCGAGGTTCCCCTCCTCTTATAGGGGCTTATATCGATGCCCCCCCCCCCAAGGTCGAATTACTGACCCCGCCCAGCATGCAACCCCACAAGCTGACTAACTCATGAGTACCTACTCACTGCTAGGTGAACAGGACCCATTAGGTGATAGTGACATGATGCACTACACTGCGCCTAACCATTTCAGGCCCGCCTGGGATTCGAACCCAGAATTCTCGATTGTGAGTCGAGAATGAACCCAACTGTACTACCACAGCCCGTCCTCCAAACAAAGATCCAAAAGTGATTCCATGCACCCGCCAAACCCCCTGTTTATGAATGAAAAGCAGTTTACACACAACCCGTCCTCGACTCAAGTCCATTACATCCAGCGGTTGCCCCCACAGACGCATTCATAAATTTTAACTTGCTGTTCATTCAGAACAAGAATTTTCTCAAATATAAATTAATATTATAATATATTAGCATATTGTGCATATATAGGCATAGGTTAGGTTAGGTTAGGTGTTTAGGTTCTGTTGGCGATTATTTGCATTTGTAGTACGTGGGTGAAGCATTTATAGCGTTGTGATTCAAACAAAATTCGTCAGTGAAGCACTTGTTCTGGATATGTTTGAACGTCAGCAGTTGTGAGTCGTGTGTAAACCGCTTTTCATTCATAAACAGGGGGTTTGGCGGGTGCATGGAATCACTTTTGGATCTTTGTTTGGAGGACGGGCTGCAACCCGTCCTCGACTCAAGTCCATTGCATCCAGCGGTCGACCCCACAGACGCATTCATAAATTTGAACAAGCTGTTCATTCAAAACAGGAATTTTCTCAACTATAAATTAATATTATAATATATTAGTATATTGTGTATATATAGGCATAGAATAGGTTAGGTTAGGTGTTTAGGTTCTGTTGGCGATTATTTGTATTTGTAGTACGTGGGTGAAGCATTTATAGCGTTGCGATTCAAACAAAATTCGTCAGTGAAGCACTTGTTCCGGATATGTTCGAACGTCAGCAGTTGTGAGTCGTGTGTAAACCGCTTTTCATTCATAAACAGGGGGTTTGGCGGGTGCATGGAATCACTTTTGGATCTTTGTTTGGAGGACGGGCTGTTACACACGGCTCACAACTGCTGACGTTCGAACATATCCGGAACAAGTGCTTCACTGACGAATTTTGTTTGAATCGCAACGCTATAAATGCTTCACCCACGTACTACAAATACAAATAATCGCCAACAGAACCTAAACACCTAACCTAACCTATTCTATGCCTATATATACACAATATACTAATATATTATAATATTAATTTATAGTTGAGAAAATTCCTGTTTTGAATGAACAGCTTGTTCAAATTTATGAATGCGTCTGTGGGGTCGACCGCTGGATGTAATGGACTTGAGTCGAGGACGGGTTGACTACCATCACCCTCATACTGTACATTAATTTAAGAGAAGTGTGCATGTGTGTGTGAGTAGGTGGGTAAGAGATGGTATAATTATCTATGTATAATTGCCTAAGTGTAGTTACAGGATGAGAGCTACACTCATTATGTCTCATCTTCCCAGTACTCTTTGTCATATAACGCTTTGAAACTACTGGCGGTTTTGGCCTCCACCACCTTCTCACTTAACTATTTCCAACCGTCTACCACTGTTTGCAAAAGTAAATTTACTTATATTTCTTCGGCAGTGTCTTGCAGGTTATCCTTCGACGTCCTGAGTCATGCCTGTACCCTTAGGAAGACATATTAATTGCGTATATACGATTAGTGTAGCACTTCTTGGAAAGTGGAATTGACAGACGCATCTAATTGCCTGCACTGGAACTTCTGAGAATTTTGAGCAACTATATATCACATATATAGTTGCTACATTATGTTAAAAACATGCTATATAAACGTGTATCGGGTATTATATAAGGGTCCACTGTACAGTATTCGAGCATGCATTATGATGTATGGTGATCATGACGGATTTAAAATAAAATTTCAATAAATAAGCTTACAAGGACTCTGAAGAGCTCGCCAATGGTACTAGTGCCATCCCACTGAGTGGAGTGTTCCTTGAGACCCTCCAGGAACTCGCTGTGGGCCGCGTGTAGTTCTGTTATCCGGTAAAACACCGTAGAGAAGTCGTCTGGTGAGATCACGGGCTGAGACGTCGTCAGCGTTGCCTTCAGGGCTTTCATATACTGTTGAGGAGAAATGGGTTCATTCGTATAGTATTATTTAATGATTGCAACAGTGGGCTGATCAACTGTACTGCAACATCATCATTAAGAGAACACAAGCTATTGCTGATTCACAAAGCATATTTAACAAATTTTTTTGGGCCACACATAAAACTTATATTCTTCCGACACACACACAAAAACACATCACTTTTGAGTCCAGAACACACAAAATACAACCTGTGTCTCCACACAAAACATTTAACAAAAACATCAGTTTTTATATTCCTTCTGAAGGATTTTTATTATTTAGAATAGTTTCCCATGGAATGTTTGTAAGTTCCTTGTTTATTTTCTCTCAGTCTATCCTTTTATTATTAAAATTGAATTTACTGAATAGCCCCTCTCGCTTGATCATTGTTTTAGGTCTATTCTGAGTATTGATGGTAGTTTGCACTTCAATGAGCTTGTGATCTGAGTATGTGGTATTTACGATCGTAATGTCCCTGATTATGTCTTAATTGTTTGTGAAGACCAGATGTAAAATATTTTCGTTTCTCGTTGGCTCTGATATCTGCTGGTTAAGTGAAAATTTGTCACAGAATCTAAGCAGTTCTCTGATCTGTGGTTGGCTATGTCCCGATAGATTTCCTAGTATAATATTATTGTTTGCTATTCTTCATCTTAGATTAGGCAAGTTGAAGTCACCTAAGGCAGATAATATCAGGTATCGAGTTCGCCAAATTATCAAGGTTCTTCTCTATTTTGTTCATCTGTTCTGTGAATTCCTTAGCCGTTGCATCTGGCGGTTTGTATATTAGAATAATAACTAAGTTTATTTTATCTATTTTTACTCCCAGTACCTCTACCACCTCATTTGTAGAGTTAAGGAGCTCCGAGCATACAATTTTTCGTATCAGATCTCATCGTATGATCTCGGCTCATCGTAATTTCATCGTATTTCTCCGATCTCTCGTATCAGGAACGCTTGAAGGTCACGGGGCTAACAACACTAAAAACCAGACATGGCAGGGCGGATCTCATTGAAACTTTTAAAATACTGAACAAGTTAGAGGATGTTGATCCGGATATTTTCTTCAGGTCAGATGTAACACAAACAAGGAGTAACGGTTTCAAGCTCAACAAGCCACAATGTAGGACTAAGAACAGGAGATGCTTTTTCATCCACAGGGTTATTAACCTATGGAACCGCCTACCCGCCTTAGCCGTAACTGCCAAATCTGTGTTGAGTTTAAAAATATACATTGAAAAGATCATCACGGCAAATGGGGTGACCTTCGACAAGGTGCTGGCTTCCTGTCCTCGTCGAGGCCCTAGGGTTAGTGGCCCTCGGGTAAATCAGGTAAAGTTGCAGTAGGTAATAATAATTCAACATGTGTTTCACAAGTAATTATCAAGATAAAGATCAAGTCTCTGTGGTTCATGTCGTGGACTCCTTCACGAGTCGTGGACAACACTCACCAGTAATTACCTCATGTTACACTCCAGCCACACCCAAGTGAGGGTGACACACTTGTCCTCCAGCCACACCCAAGTGAGGGTGACACACTTGTCCTCCAGCCACACCCAAGTGAGGGTGACACACTTGTCCTCCAGCCACACCCAAGTGAGGGTGACACACTTATCCTCCAGCCACACCCAAGTGAGGGTGACACACTTGTCCTCCAGCCACACCCAAGTGAGGGTGACACACTTGTCCTCCAGCCACACCTATGGTAAGTCTGCAGAAGAGAGGACGCACCTGGAGGACAACGTCGAGACACTCAAGGTAGATGGTCTCCGACTCGACGATAGAGGAGATAATACAGCGATACATAGTAAGTCTCTCCGCCTCGGCGGCCGGGTCTGGCGTGGGCGGGGCTGGCGTCTCCGGCAGCTCTCCCGACGACGCCCATCTGGAGGCTGTGGGCGGCGTGGGCGGCGCTGACGGCATGTGACTCGTCGACTCGACGCTGCTCCCATACACCCCTGCAAGAAAAAAAATATATCGCAGTGTTACCGGTATACTAATTCACAACTTTAAATGTAGATATAATAACAGTCCAATAGGCTCTGTATGCTATACACCAGTCGATTAAGGGTTGATCCACCCGTAACTCCGACAACCGACACCAAGAGGCGCTCCAGAGTCGACACCGACGTTGACGAGAATGGCCTTGCGACCGACGACGACAAAGGGACCGCCTATGTTGTCCACTTTGCGCCCAGCGAGTTCAACAGCAGGACAAGCACCAGACGACAACTGGTCCACAAATGTTACAGGATAATCTGCACTAGGAACGTCAACGCCCGCACCCCAGGCGTGGCCACGCCCCCTCCATGACCAACACTGACCTCACTACGCTCAAGGAACAGTACCGCCACCAGGAATTTCACCGCAAATTCCCAGACGGACAATTGGAATTCCTGGAAAAGGACAACGATCCTGATGGTACCAAACTACCGAGGCTATTGAGTGTAAAAGTAAAGCGTTAATTGTGTAAAGGAGGAAATGTATATGTTTATCTCTCAGAATGTTTGGTAATGTTTATTGCTTGTGATATGTGTCTATGTATGTATTAACATGATGTACTGAACGGGGTGAGAATAGCTTGAGCTACCTCATTCCTTTGTGTGTATTTTACCTCAATAAATTTATTTCAATTTCAATTAAGGGTTAAAAGGCGGGGCTTAAGAGTCGTAGCTCATCCCTCGCGAGGAGAACCAGGTGAGTACAACCAGGTGAGTACAACCAGGTGAGTACAACCAGGTGAGTACAACCAGGTGAGTACAACCAGGTGAGTACAACCAGGTGAGTAGTGACAGTGTACGAGGCTGCGTTACCAGGACATAACACGGAGCAACGATAACCTAACCATAGTCATGACTCAAAGAGGGAATATTATAGTGCCAGCGAGCCATGTAAACAACTTTCCGCTCTAGGGCAGACTAAGGCAAACATTACCACATTACCTTGATCAAATTACACTCTTACCACATTTTCCCCGACACAGCCATGAGGGGTGCACGCCCAGAGCGGGCGGGCACTCTGCTTGATGACGGCAACACAGTGTGTGGTGTATGGGAGGCAACCATCCTACCACACACCCATACCTCCCATACACCAACACGCACTCTCACGCCCACACACGCCCATATATCTCCATACACACGCACATCCCTTACACACAACTAAATCAGACACGCACACGCGGGAACTTGCATGTCACCTACACACCCATACACACGTCACTCCCCAGTAAACACACACTGGCCCTCCTTACAAGACTATCCATCAACAGCAGTCTTCGTGGTGTAGTAGTAACACACTCGCCCGGCGTTTCGCGAGCGCTTTGTCCTGGGTTCGTATCCTGGCCGGAGAGGATTTACTGGGCGTCAATCCTTAACTATAACCTCTGTTTACCCAACAGTAAAATGGGTACTAAACAAATCTTTAACAACAGTAGTTGTTAAACGATTTGGCGATTTGGCGGGGTCGTATTCGGGGAACATAGGATTAGGGACTTGCCCGAAATGCTGTGCGGTCTAGTGGCTGTACATGACTGTAAAATTCTTGTATAAAAAAAGTGTTCATGCCTGCTTGATGGGGTTCTGGGAGATCTTCTACTCCCCATGTCCGAGGCCAGGCTTGACTTGTGAGAGGTTAGTCCACTAGGCTGTTCCTTGGAGCGGCCCTCAGGCACATACCCACCACAGCCCGGTTGGTCTGGCATTTCTTGAAGAAAACAATCCAATTTTCTCTTGAAGATGTCCACGGTTGTTCCGGCAATATTTCTTATAATTGCTGAGAGAATGTTGAACAACCGTGGACCTCTCATGTTTATACAGTGTTCTCTGATTGTGCCTATGGCACCCCAGATGTGTGGGTCACTACCACGACACTCCACAACTTGAGTCATGAGGAAGAGATGAGTGATAGAGCAGGAGGGAGGCAAGTGCTCAAGGGTGTTGACAAGGGTATGAGAAACCTTTATCTTGCGATGATTCCGGGGCTTAGCGCCCCGCGGGCCGGATCTCCCGATAGGAAGACAGATACCGCGACAGGAAGTCCTGATGTTATCTGGACACCCGCAACAAGCCCCGGGAGATTTTTATCCTTGGAAACAGGATAATCAGACGATGCGCAGAGTTTTGTCCCGCGGGGCGAGTTTATGAGACAGAGCAACTCTCGCACACAGTAAACTGTTAGGAAGTTATTGCTTCTTCAGAAGCCTTCCTCGTCCAAGTTGCGCCCGATGGAAAAGGCGCATTCCTCAATGTTAGCTTGTGGTTACTGTGTAACCAAACACGGTGTGTAGTATATAAATTAGTATTAATACATAAAATAACTTTTTTCGTAGTTAGAGTACGGATAGATTAAGTTAGGTTTGGGCTCTGTTGGTAATGTGGATACACACGTTCTGCCTCCATGTCTCAGGCTCTTGTAAGAAATGATTTGCAACCAGTGCTGCTCTATTGGTTATTTTCCAGTTATTAATTATGATCTCTCTCTCTCTCTCTCTCTCTCTCTCTCTCTCTCTCTCTCTCTCTCTCTCTCTCTCTCTCTCTCTCTCTCTCTCTCTCTCTCTCTCTCTCTCTCTCTCTCTCTCTCTCTCTCTCTCTCTCTCTCTCTCTCTCTCTCTCTCTCTCTCTCTCTCTCTCTCTCTCTCTCTCTCTCTCTCTCTCTCTCTGTCTCTCTCTCTCTCTCTCTGAAGCATTACCTCCCATGCAGCCTCACTTATTATCTTTTACCTGTTGCTTTCCTTCTATGAGTAAGTCTGTGTCCTGTACCTTGTATTTAGTTTATGTAATAAATGGTATTGTACTTGATTTCAGCGTTTCCACCATAGCTGAGTGTCTGAAACTTGTCACAGTTAAACTTGATATTTTCAGTTGACCAATCGAAGACTTTATTAATATCTGCTTGAAGTTTTTCAGTGTCTTCTACGGAGTGGTGGGTGTTGAGGCCCCCTCCCCATGCTGGGGTGGGTGTTGACGGCTCCCCCCGTGCTGGGGTGGGTGTTGACGGCCCCCCCCCATGCTGGGGTGGGTGTTGAGGCACCCCCCCCCCCCCGTGCTGGGGTGGGTGTTGACGGCCCCCCCCCCATGCTGGGGTGGGTGTTGAGGCACCCCCCCCCCCGTGCTGGGGTGGGTGTTGAGGAAGGAAGTGCCTCACTAGGCCAGCAACACTCCCTAGCTGATCATTCAACTTTCTTACACGTGGAAATAACAAGGAACGTTTAGATACATGAGGTAACCTCAGCTCTTTACAGAGGTGGAGCTGGTGGAGGGAGGAGGGCCAGGAAGAGGACGAAGGATGAGGGAGGAATAAGAATGAGAAGGGAACAAGAAGGAGGGAGGGAGGAAGGATAAGGGAGGAGGAGGGCTATAAGAATCAAGGTCTTTTCCCGCCTATTAAAACCCAGAGGTGAGAGGAGGGAAGAGTAGATGGATGGACGGGTGAGAGGGAGAGTGGAGGGAGAGGGAGAGTAAAGGGAGAGGGAGAGAGAGAGAGGCGGCCAGAGACCAAGCAAGGTCTCACAGGAAACAAGGCGAGCCACTCCACCACCAACTAAGGTTAAGCCAGTGCGCCTTAACACAAGTTACAACACCACGTAAGGTCCAGACACGGTGCTTGAAGATGACCCTGGCTAACACAAAATGTAATCACCCATAAAAAAAATACTTGTTTCCATTCTCTTATGAAACCTGTTTCTGGGTGGGTGTGGGAGTGCCAGCGATGCCGCCCTGAGAATTTCCTGCCCACCTAACCTATCACAGGACCCTTAACTTACTCTTGTTGAAAAAAATCCCAAATTTATTTTCACTTTTTTCATGTTCAAATTACGTCCACTTTCGGCCATACTGGTAAACGGCCAAAAGCGACGTTATTTTTACGAGGCCAGGTTGCCGCCCACGCCGCCGCCGCCACCAATACTGGTAAGTGCTGTGATCCGCTCGCCTCGTCACCCAGAACGTCCAGGTTCGAACCCCGGGAAGCGTGGGAAGACTGCTCAGCATTCCTCCACTGTTCGCTACTGTACAACTAGCATTAACTGAGGAGCTGGATGTAAAACTTTGAGTGATTGTGTTCTAGGGGAACAAAGCTGACTTAACCCAAGCGGCTCCAGCACCTGGCCCAGGGGCAGAGCTGAACACCAAAATAATTCCTTACGAGACCACGAGGAGTGAATGTTGAAAATAGCCTTATCTTGAGGTTATCTTGAGATGATTTCGGGGCTTTTTAGTGTCCCCGCAGCCCGGTCCTCGACCAGGCCTCCACCCCCAGGAAGCAGCCCGTGACAGCTGACTAACACCCAGGTACCTATTTTACTGCTAGGTAACAGGGGCATAGGGTGAAACAAACTCTGCCCATTGTTTCTCGCCGGCCCCCGGGATCGAACCCAGGACCACAGGATCACAAGTCCAGCATGCTATCCGCTCGGCCGACCGGCTCCCCTCAATGAAGATTAGGTGCAAGAGGTAGTGTTAATAAGAGACAATAGTGTTAACATTAAAGGCCAACACTTTACACTACCACCTTCACCTAAACATAAAGGGACAATTAACACACCGTTAACTGTTCAAGAACAACTTTATTTTGTCTTGTGTGTGAGAGTGGTGCGCGCGGGCCCTGAGCCTCTGGCTGGCCCACTGTACTCACCTATTTGTACTTGCAGGATCGAGCATTGACTCTTGCATCCCGCCAAGAGTCAATGATGACACATTACTGTGTCACACATCTCTGTCTTGCTCTGACAATGACAAGTAGTCATGACTCAAATGTTGACTCCAGCAAGGTTATGTTGATGTGTTTGTTTACCAACTTAGTCTACGTTGATAAGTCTCAGCGGTAATCTTATGTGTCCTGTAGCTGCACTCTGTTAGATAATGTTCCAGCGCTGTGTCCGCCATTTCTCCACAATGATGACATTTCCTCTCTTCTTCTGGAACTGTAAGTCTATTTCCCCATGCACATGGGTATCCAA